AACTTAAAAAAGGATTTATTGAGAGTTAACAAGCCAGCACTGCCTGGGTGTAGCCGACTCCGAGACACTTCATTCATAATTCTGAGACACTCCGGGAGACACAATATTGGTCTTCTAATATTTGAGGGGTTGCCACAAATAAGAGGGGGTTCAGCCTATTCCCCAAAACACCAGAAGGCAGGACGAGAAGCAACGATGGGAACTAATCAAGGAGAGAAGCAACATGGAACTAAGGAGATACTTCCTGACAGTGGGAACAATTAACCAGTGGAACAGCTTGCCACTAGAAGTCGTGGGTGCTCCATCACTGGAGGTTTTTAAGAGACCTTCCAATTCGGCTACTCTGTTAAAATAAATTAGAGAATAATAATAATAATAATTGATAATGTCAGTAAAGCTGCTTTTTGGCAATTGGCTGATGGGCATTGACAAAATCCCCATCGGTCAATTTCGGAAGGGAGCAGCTGACATCCTGCAATGAGACGTTCGACAACATCAAACATCCACACCTGCCTATCGCAGGTCCTTGGGAAGGACCCAAGAGGCCAAATCCCATCTAAACATCTGGCTGACTTTGCGATGAACCACAATAATAATTGAATGCCTTCGGCATTGACAAAATCCCGGAATGGTCAATTGCAAAAGGCAGCCCCCATTACTGTCTTATGTCAAGGTCTACCTGAAGTAGGCACGAAAAGACCTTCACAAACTGAACAAATACACAACTACCATTGCTGGACTAAGTCCCAATGAAATAATAGTTTGCTTTCTGGGTTTTTTTTTCATGTTTGAACAGATCTCAGGCCGGGACAAACCTGGACCAGGGCAAACGTTGGATGACTCACGTCGACAAGTTGTGTTTCCTAAAGAAGGTGAGGCCGGTTGTGATCGGACTCACAACTCTCAGTTCAATCGTGAAGGAAAGAAGATGCAACAACTGTGTGCGTCTTGGGGACATTGGGATCGTCCTAAAAAGATAATTGTGAGACCAAGCAAAAGGGCCGATTATAATTCACTTTTTCTCTCGTTGCAGTGCCGTTTGTAGCGTTGAACAGTCACTAAATGAATGGTCGTATGTTGAGGACTTCCTGTAATCAGCTTTCCCGCCTTTTTTTTTTTTTTCCCCAGGAGGCGACGTAGAAGAAGACGCTTCTCTGCCGCAGCCAGAAGACGTCGGAGTTGCCGAAGGAGAGAAATCGTCCAAAGCAGGTGTGTGGATTTTAATTCCTCTTTCTTTATGAACAAAACTCCACATTGGTGATAGGAAGGGCATCCGGCCAGTAAACAGTCAGCTGCACTCAGTTGCCCAGACAAAGGGATTATGGGGTCATTAAAAGGGAGATGATGATCAGCCCGAACAGCCAAGCAATCTTACAGTCGGGCTTCCTGGCTATTTGATCGTCATCCTGCCTATCATATACAGATAGTTCTTGACTTACAGCAGATGATTTAGCGACTGTTCAAAGTTACAACAGCATTGAAAAAAAGTGACTTATGATCGTTTTTCACACTTCTGACCATTACAGCAGCCCCAAAATTCAGTTGCTTGACAACGGGTTCATATTTACAACCGTTGCCGTATCCCAAGGTCATGTGATTGCTCCTTTTTACGACCTTCTGACCAGCAAAGTCAATGGGGCAGGCTGGATTCACTTAACAACCAGGTTAGTAACTTAACAACTGCAATGATTTGCTTAACTGGGGCAAGGAAGTTCGTAAAATGGAGCAAAATTCACCTAACAATTGTCTCCTTTAGCAACAGACCTATTGGGCTCAATTGCAGTCATAAGTCAAGGACCAGCTGTAGAACCAAGGGCTTTTTCTCGTGTCTGTGTTTTATTTTAATGCACAGATAATCTTCAACTTAAACGACCACAACTGAGCCCAAAACGTGTGTTGTTAAGTGAGAAATTCGTTTAGCGACATTTTACGACTTTCCCTGCAGTTCTTAAATTAGTCACGCAGTCATTAAGTGAGTCTGGGGCTTCCCCCATTGACTCGGCTTGTCCAGTAGGTCGCAAAAAGGGAATCACGGGATTCCACGACCGTCATAAATCAAATCGGTGGCCAAGCGCCTGAATTTTGAATATGTGGCCATGGGGATGCTTACAACAACGGTCATCACTGGAAAAAAACGTGGTCCTAAGTCCCTTTGTTTCAGTGCCGTCGTAACTTGGAATGGTCATTAAACGAACCATTGTAAGTCGAGGACTTAACCTGTATGGGATAGTACACTTCGAATCGCTTTCGTTTTCTCGATTTTGCTCCCTCTCAATCTTCTGCAGAGTCTACGACGGAGGTGAAGAAAAGCAGCCTTGAAAAATCCAGTTTGGGAACGGAATCCAACGTGGGCGCCGGCTCAAACAAAGGTGACCTGATTTTATTTTGCAATGCCCTGCGTTTCTTTTTTCTACGGGTAGTCCTCAAATTATTTTATATATATATATATGTGTGTGTGTGTGTGTGTGTGTGTGTATATATGTGTGTGTGTGTATATATATGTGTGTGTGTGTGTGTGTGTGTGTGTGTGTATATATATATATATTTGTTTTCTGAGGTTTTCGCGGGTATTTGTATGTGGATCTTTGGTTATTCGGGT